ACATATGTATAAAATCCCATAAAATATAAAAAAGTGGACATTAAAACATATTTATCTGGACCTGGATTAAGTTCAATATCCATTTGTGTTCATCCTAGGGGTCTTTGGGCTGCACTTTGATCCTCACCTACGACCCGTTTGCCTTGGGTGACCCTACTGGGGTCATGAAGCCCCTGACGACATAACTCCTAGGATCATTGGGACACTCAAACCTCTCCACATGATAAGGTGGCAGACCAAGGAGAGGACTTAGAGAGCACTAAACTGAGTTCAGTAAATTTTTTTTATATTTACTGTGCTCCGTTTAATGGAACCAGTTGACAATAACTGGTTTAAATAAACACTTCCATTTTTTCGAGTGCAAAAATATATTCTTTTCATGATGAGTTTGGTCAGATTCAAATTAGTAACATGTAACAAGGTGTTACATTTTTAAAAATGTGAAAAAATTTACATTTTAAATGTAACTAAATTAAAAAAGTAAATACTTGGTAAAATTATACATCCTCAAAGTACTGTAAATGTACTTTGTTATTAAATGCTGCCTCTGAATTTAGGCATTCAGTGGGGTGCGAAAGTTTGGGCAGCATTGTTAATTTTCCTGATTTACTTTTATAAATCATTTAAAACTTCATTTCACTTGTCAAATATCATTGTGTCCCCTATGATATATTTAACTTTTTTTAAGCCCAACAGATTTATAAAAAAGGTAAATCTGGAAAATTAACCAGGCTGCCCAAACTTTCGCAACCCTCTATCTCTTTTTGCAGAACAACAAAGTAAATGGTAAAATGGGCACAGAAAAACATGRATGTTAAGACTCTTTGAGCTCTGAAGAAATACCGAACACAAAAACTAGTTTAAKATATTTATTAAACAATGAGTCAATGTCGATGGTCTGGCAGGAACCTGGTACTGGTCTAGATACATCTGGACACAGAGGGGAGGTTTTGGTGGCAGAACAGGACTGGGTTAGTAAACTCAGAAGTAGAATAACCACTAACCTGGTGGTTTTGTCCTCATGCCTCGCATCTTTGCCTCAAACCCTAACGAGTTTGTCCAGCCATCTGTCCTCCTCCTGGTTTTGACCCCCAGCTCTGTGTTTTGGATTAACATCTCTTGTCTCTCTCCTTGCTGGCATCACTACACCTCAGATCTCCTGGTTTGTGACCCACGCCTGTCCCACGGATTTACGGACTCAGCTCAGCCCCTTGGTTCTGGTAAACAAAGCTCTCTTTCTGGATTTGACCCCTGCCTGTCCCCCGACTCTTGTCTTTGCTCAACAAACCTAAACAGTCAGCCGATCTTTTCGGTGACGTCAAGTTCCAGTACCAGATTCACCTGGATACTAACAGTGTAAACGGCCAGACCACACCAGGTAAGTAACAGTAAAAGACTGATGACAGACTGACTGGGAAGTGAGGGTGAGAGCAGGAATATATACTGAGGGGAACAGGTGAGTGGAATGACCTGATTGCAGGAGGGAGGAGCTGGAGCTGTAATTGGAGCTGACTGTGACAGGAGCAGAGTGGTGATTGAGAACTTGGCATGGGGAAAACTGTGGAAAGCAAAACAACAAAAACAGAGGCAGGACTGGGCAGGAAAATAATCATAACAATGCATTTAAAAAACAAAATAAACCAGTGATGTTGCGCATTAAAATGATCTAACTCCAGTTCAATGTACAGCATTTGAACTGTAGTTAGACAGTTTTAATGACAGAGACAGCATGAAATCAGCAGCTTAGTCTCTTTGTTTTAGAAAAATATCTTATAAACCACTGGTTAGATTTGAATGAAACTTTCAGAACCTAACTTTACATCATACAGGTGAAGGTGTTTAAAATACTGCTCTAAGAGACCACCACAGCTGATTGATATAAACAATACAAAAATGGACAAAACTCAATCAGAGCTACAGTTTGATGTGTAGCTGAGTCATCTTCAACACATACTCACACTGTGACATTTTGCAATAAACTATGAGCTCAAGGTTTGACTAATAGACACAAAAATGTGTAATTTCTCATTCTAAGATACTTTTATTTTGAAACTCCGATATGAAGGCAGAGCTTCAAGAAACGTTTGGCGTTTATTTTATTGATTTTGTACATGAAAATGAAGTCAATTCATCCATATCTACCATCCATCCAACCATCCATTCATCCATCCATAAATCAATCCATCCATTCATCCAATCATCCATCCATCCATCCATCCATAAATCCATCCATCAAAGCATTCATCCATCCATCCATCCATCCATCCATCCATCCATAAATCCATCCATCAAAGCATTCATCCATCCATAAATCCATCCATCAAAGCATTCATCCATCCATCCATCCATCCATCCATCCATCCATAAATCCATCCATCAAAGCATCCATCCATCCATAAATCCATCCATCAAAGCATTCATCCATCCATCCATCCATCCATCCATCCATCCATAAATCCATCCATCAAAGCATCCATCCATCCATAAATCCATCCATCAAAGCATTCATCCATCCATCCATCCATCCATCCATCCATCCATAAATCCATCCATCAAAGCATCCATCCATCCATAAATCCATCCATCAAAGCATTCATCCATCCATCCATCCATCCATCCATCCATCCATAAATCCATCCATCAAAGCATCCATCCATCCATAAATCCATCCATCAAAGCATTCATCCATCCATCCATCCATCCATCCATCCATCCATAAATCCATCCATCAAAGCATCCATCCATCCATAAATCCATCCATCAAAGCATTCATCCATCCATCCATCCATCCATCCATCCATCCATAAATCCATCCATCAAAGCATCCATCCATCCATAAATCCATCCATCAAAGCATTCATCCATCCATCCATC